CTCACCTGGAATACTGTGTCCAGTTCTGGGCACCACAATTCACAAAGAATATTGACAAGCTGGAGCATGTCCAAAGGAGGGGGGCTAAAATGATGAAGGGTTTGCAAACCATGCCTTATGAGGAGAGACTTAAGGAGCTGGGTATCTTTAGTCTGGATATTTGAAGGGATGCCATATTGAGGATGGAGCAAGCTTGTTTTCTGCTGCTCCAGAGAATAGGACCCGGAACAATGGATGCAAACTACAGGAAAAGAGATTCCACCTCAACATTAGGAGGCAATTCCTGACAGTGAGAGCTATTTGGCAGTGAATGATGTTCCCTTGGAAAGTGGTGGAGTCTCCTTCTTTGGAGGTCTTTAAACAGAGGCTGGATGGCCGTCAGTTGGGAGTGTTTTGATTATATGTTCCTAAATGGCAGAATGGGGTTGGACTGGATGGCCCTTGAGGTGTCTTCCAACTTATGATTCTATGAATCTCAATCTATAGAATGGTAGCCCAACACTCCAACCATTATGCCACGCTGGCTCTGTACACTTTGTTTAACCTTGGATCCTCCAAGGATCTGGACATTTTATCCACTTTCCAGAATCCTAACGAAGCTCCTGTTGCAAGTACATGTGAATCAGCTGGTTCCCTCTCCACGCAGCGTCGGCGGACTCATTACCGATGCTTCAAATCGGCGTGGGCCGCGAGAGAAGACAGGTTCCACCAAAAGAGGAAAAGAGGCATGTTAAACAAAGACAAAGTTCCATCCTTGTTTTCTGCAGTGAACATTTAAAAATAATGGTTTTTTTCCGTCTCTAAGTCATGTTCTAATTTTATTTTGGGTTTTGCTCTGAATGTAAATAACTTGTTTAATTAAGTGGATTTTTTTCCCTGAGAGCCCACAGGGTTTTCGCAGCGGTATCAGATACAGAATGTGTTGCTATAGGAACAGCACTGTCACCATGGCCTCCCTCTTGATTTCACGGAGAACGGCCAATCTATCACAGTATAAACAAGAAGAAATCTTCCTCTCCTCGCACTCGCAGCCACTGTGAGCTGCAAGGCAAATCCAGAACTCCAGGTAGGAGGTATTGGATGAGCCAGATAGATACGCTGTCTCACCTGGAACAGGTTGAATCTCCCTTATCCAAAATGCTTGAGACTAGAAGTATTTTGGATTTTTTATTTTTATTTTGGAACATTGTATTTATAGTTTTTTGTGGGTTTTTCAGGCTGTGTGGCCATGTTCTAGAAGAGTTTCTTTCTGACGTTTCGCCAGCATCTGTGGCTGGCATCTTCAGAGAAAAAGATGTATTTATATATTTATATATACAGGCTGAGTCTCTCTTATCCAAAATGTTTGAGACTAGAAGTGTTTTAGAGAGACAGTGTGGCATAGTGGTTTGAGCACTGGACTACGACTCTGGAGACCAGGTTTTGATTCCTAGCTTGGCCACAAAACCCACTGGATGACCTTGGGCATGTCACATGCTCTCAGCCTCAGAGGAAGGCAATGACGAACCTCCTCTGAACCAATCTTGACAAGAGAAAACCATGATAGGGTCACCATAAGTTGGAAATGATTTGAAGGTATGCAACACACACAGAGAAGTGTTTTGTGTAGGGTAATTAAAGTTTCCTAAGGCTTCAGCCTACATTAAGGAAGCAAAAATATTTAAACATCAAAAATGTCAAAGTCAAGCCTGTTAGGGTCTAGCTTTAAAATAGCAGAGTACCAGAAATGTGCTTCTGTCTAACTATGCATCCCTAAGAACTGAGACTGACTCAAAAACAACATAAGCAGTTTGTAGTTCAAACAAACTTTACTAATGGCTTTAATCTATATTTACATAAAAGGCTATATCCTAATCTAGCTAGTGAATAGTTCAGGTGAAAAGAAATATTTATCTCACCATCTTTCCAAACAAAGTTGAGAGAGGAGGAAGATGGAAGCCCCACAGTTCAGGAAAAAATCTTTTAAGGAAATGTGAATTAGTATTTCCCTAAAAGGGTGAGTGACCTAAATCACATGGTTAGTTTGAATGAGAGGGGGTTGCATGCAGGAAATCCCTATCTATCGAAGGAGGGGGAAAGAGAGTACAAAAAACTTTCAACATTTTGGATTTTGTAATTTTTTAGATTTCAGAATATTATATTTGCATATACAGCTTGAGTCTCAATTATCCAAATTACTTGAAACTAGATGTGTTTTGGATTCTGGATATTTATTTATTTATTTGATTTTGTAATACAGTATTTGCATATATAGCTTGAGTCTCCCTTATCCAAAATACTTGGGACCAAAGATTCTCAAGTATAAAGATATATCAGTAGATACCAAAGACACAACAATCCATGCCATAGCATTTCCAATTTCTAGGTATGATTGTGTAACCTGGACAGTGAAGCAAGTTTACAGGAAAAAACCCTAATGTGGTGCTTGAGAAAAATTCTATGGCTAATATGGGCTGCCATCAAGACAAATAAATCAACCCAAGTGCAAAACAAGGCTAAACTCTCAGCAGAAACTATCAGACTTTTAATATATACAGGTTAAGTTTCCCTTGGGACCAGGACTGTTTGGGATTTTGGATTTTTTAAGATTTTAGAATACCTGTATTTGCATATACATGCATAATGAAATACCTTAGAGATGGGACCCGAGTCTAAACACAAAATTCATGTAAGTTTCATATACACCTTATACACATATCCTGAAGGTAATCTTATACAATATTTAAATAATTTTGAGCATGAAACAAAGTTTATTGATCCCCAGAAAGCAAAGGTGTCATTATCTCAGTCTTTTTGTTGTTGTTGTTAACTGCCTTGGAGTCGATCTCGACCCATGGCAACCCTGTGGATGAGACATCTCCAAGATGCCCTATTTTCCACTGCTCTGCTTAGGTCCTGCAAACTCATACCCGTGATCTCTTTAATTGAGTCCATCCATCTGGCATGTGGCCTTCCTCTCTTCCTATTTCCTTCCACCTTTCCCAGCATTATTGTCTTTTCCAGTGAGTCCTCTCTTCTCATGATGTGTCTGAATCCTCAGTTTGGTCATTTTGGCTTCCAAGGATACTTCTGACTTGATCTTCTCTAGGACCCATTTGTTTGTCTTTTTGCTGTCCATGGCATCCTCAGCACTCTTCTCCAGCATCACATCTCAAATGAATTGATTATTTTCCTATCTTCTTTCTTAATTGTCTAACTCTCACATCCGTACATGGCAATACGGAATACAATGGCTTGTATGAGTCTAACTTGGGGCTCTGTTGTATATCCTTGTTTTTAAGTTTCTAGTTCTTTCATAGCCACCCTCCCCATTCTTAATCTTCTTTTGATTTCCTGGCTGCAGTTCCCATTTCTATCAATGTTTGATCCCAGGTATGAGAATTCTTTTACTATTTCTATTTCCTCATTCTAGGCTCAGTTTGTATAGTTTCTCCATGATCATTATTTTTGTTTTCTTTATGTTCAACAGTAAGCCT